CAATTTATCGTCAAAAACAGGTGCAAAATAATTTTTTCTGACTGGTCTAAGTGGAGCTCAGCTAAAGGAAAAGTACCGAAAATTTTCTCAGGCGAAATCGTATATGTACAGTAGCCAAGGGAGACAAATTTGAGAGCTTGCTATAAATTTTCCTATTTATTGTTATGATTATTGATCTGATAAATGTAATTGTATCTTTGAATGAATAAATTCATTCCTTTACGAAGTATTCTTTTTACTGTTGAAAGATCTGAAAAAATTGACACAACTTCTTACACGCACTGTATCTCCATGATGGACTATTGTATAAAACAGTAAACAATATCATAAATACTCATATAATTCACATCCATGGAACGAACGACAGAGTAGAGCACTTTCTACGTTATTAGCATACTGAAAACTCTTGAGGTCCTTTGTATCGAAAATTCATCGTTTATTGTCGAAAAGTCAGCAAGTCCACAAAGCTTGAAAATTAGACGTGATGTTCCAGGTGACAGTTTCTTTGAATGCCTCGTATCGCGAATGTTTTCAAAAGACATCCGTTACACTCGCAACATTTGGCCGATCAAATGGCGATAACTTATCACGGCTGATAGATAATGTCAACTGGATCAGCGATTTCGTTTCGCTCGCGGGATATCCACGTATATGCCGTTTTTTTTTCTCCTCGAAAAGTCTTTCGCTCAACACTTCCCTTTTTTTCCAGCAGTACAAATATGAAGTGCAATGAATAATTGCACATTAGACAGCTTCTGAGAACGACAACACAATTTCAATTTGACTATGCTCATGAGATTTCCAGCTGGGCAAAATCCAATCAGCATAGACCCGTAAATAATTAGAGGTGGTCCATATTGTGCAACACAAGGCGTAAGTAGAATAAAAGTGCACTTGGCAAGAATTGCAAGCATAAAGTTGCGATGAGAATTAACTCTAATTGAAATTTTTCATCTACCCTTTGTAAAAGTGAAACAACTGGTTTGTCATATTTTACTCGCTGTGTAGAAATCATCCATGAACAGAATCTGGCGCAATTAACACTTGAGCAAGTTTTTCAGCAAGTAACGGCACAGTGGTCATAGAATGAGATGATGTCATTGACAAATAGCGACAACAATAAATATTTTACTGCAGAGAGTATTGTATTAGTCAGTATTCATACGATTTTGTACTGAATTCTCACTTATACAGTGATCAAGATAATGTTAACCCATCTCCTTTCGACCCATTTTTTATAAATGGTATGATTCATTGTAAAAGCCGCGACCTCGACTGTCGCTCACCCGAATGTCAGGTAATTCCATCATCTGACTTTTGGTGATTTTTATTTACTCAGCGTCGATTCCTTTATAGAGGATTATTTAGCCTTAGGGATCGGCTGAACCGAGAGAAGGTGCTAGTGATGAGCCGCTACAGGACGAAACAGGCGCCTATATATCCTTAAACCTCACGTCGTAAAACATATTACATTTTTGTCGAATGTTAACCCATCACCAGAAGAAAAGCATTCTGAATGTTGTCAGATGGTGCAAGCGCGATCCGTTGGCGGCCAGTTTCAGAATACATTGATTAGGCAAAGTGTTTTCTGAGAAAAGTGAGGTCAACAAAGAGTTGATTGCTCAAAAACTTGACTTTCACTGTCGGCAATGGTCCAGAAGAACATCTGTAACACCACACGCTTCTCGTGTGACATACGCTATTCTACCAGCCGCTCACTTATCAACATACTTTCGCTTATCGAGTACCAAGTTTGTTCCTGCCTAGTTCACACCAACTCTGACCCCAGTTCTGCAAAATTTATTCATTTGCTAGTCTGTGTCTCCGCATGGTTAATTCACGTACATATAAATGATTCAACATCTAAAACGAGTTCTTCATCAGAGTGGACTACCGTCTGTGTTGTTCCTTTCTTTGAAATCCTCGCAAGCATCAACTCAATCGATCATGAATGTGCTTGTTTGGAGTTCGTTCCAATAAAATTTGCTCTCATTCATCAACCATAACGTTAACTGGTCCTTAAGGAACATCAGAGCCCTAAGCTCATGTTGCTATTTTTTGTGGTCGGATTGAGAGCAAGATTAGAATGCATTTATGGCTCAAGAGTGACATAGACAACTAAAGTGCCCATAAAAATCAAGCAAATATGATGAAAACACGTAAAACGATGAAATCTTGCATAGATGTTATAGAAACAGCTCCACCTAGTGACGAAGGGTTGTCAGAATAGCTATTATTTTTGCCTGCTTGATGGATGTCTATTCGTTGTCGTTAACAAGAGAAATAAATCTTGTTTAGTGACGGTAGCGTGACAGTGTTGTGATTTAGTTCGATTCATACTATGAAACAGTTCATATCACGACCTAGATACCTTCTTTTTTAACTCTGGGTAATAATTCTCAGTGATGTGTGGAGATTTCAGGTTGAGAGAAATAAATAATAAAACATATTCGGCGCTGATAAATTGTTGTTGAATGTGCTATGAATTCGATTCCGTTCGTAGCATCGTACAGTTGTTTACATTCATATTTGAACTATATGCGAAGGCCTATCGATGTAAACAACTGCTTTTTGTCCTCACAGACTAGCTCTCTATCACTTGTCCAACACCGGAGTGATAGGGGGTTTAGTTAACAAAAGACACGTGAGCAGCACAACGACTTTGTGGATCACATGGACATCTCTTATCACTGTGCTACACGCGCCATCGCGTCCCTGAACATTTAATGGACTTCCTGCCAGTTCAAAGGAAAAAAGCTTAATGAGGATGGAAACGCTCTTCAAACTTTCTCATAAAATGTGGCGAAATGGCAGTGTTCACGAAGTGTTATATTAGCACAGCTTTAGTCTGAGAATTCCCATGGCAACCGTTGTTTGTCTTAAGAAAAGGAAGAAACACGTAAGAATAAACATTACACTGCCTGGTTGTCCTTCTGAATTTACCACAGGTATTCTCTTTTTCTGTCAAAATTCTTTTCCAGTGTCGTGTCGGATATGGTACGAAAACTCGGCCACACGCCGGGAGCACCGCTTCGTTTGTGTTTTTCGCATTGTTTAAGGTCTTCGTTTTTTGTGTGGGGCAAAATTATTGAAAACAGCGATGAATTGCTGGCTTCATGACGTCTTCCATACATTCGAAGAGTCATGCAATAGATTTTGGCCAACTACGTCATTGTTCATGATTCTGTAATTATTCATAGCCGTTCGTGTGAGAGCGACTTTGTTTTCATGCTGCATATTCTCGTGAATTTTATACCGAAAGTCTGACGTACACCTTGCCGCGTGATATTAGTTCTATTAATTGTAACGATAAACATTTATTAGGTCTCAAACTAAGTTTTCGAATTTGATCCAGGAAATGAAGATTTTCCCACAAAAATTGTGCTAGACTCTCTTGCACATCTTTTGGTATATTTTTGCACATACTTGTTCAACAATGGAGCCGTCACGGGAAGTCATTCGCAACCTACTGCTTTACGAGTTCCAATTGGGGCACAGTTTTCAAACTGCATTTGACAACATCATTCGCGAAAAGGCCGCCAAGTCATGGGTAGAACTACGGCGTCTGAATGGTTCACAAAGTTTCACAATGGAGATACTGATTTGGCCGATCAATTAAGATCTGAAAGACCGCGTGAAAATGATTGAGAAGCAATCATTGAAGCGAGTGAAGAAGATCCGACTTTCTCAATAGGTGATTTGGGCGATGATTTCCACTGTGTTCAGATAGGTATATCCGGAAGATTTTGAAAGATGCAGACAAGAAATAGTTATTTCTGTTACAAAGTTATTTGATACTTTCCATAACTTGAAAAAATGAACTTCTGAATGTTTGGATCAAGTTCGGAAACTTAGTTGGAGACTTAATATGACAAAGATTGATTACAGTGCACAAGATCTGAGAATCGCAGTTGTCGATCGCCTATTCAAAAGAATGAAGGTTACAATCGAAATATACCGACAGGAATTGTTGTGTGTTTTTTCAAACAGCGCTCTGTAATCGAGAAGTAGAAAAGTGAAGCTTGCAGGGTTCAGCGTAAAATAGTCATGATGTTGTCTATCGATTTTGAGGCAAAATAGGGGCTGATATTGAAAAGCCCTATTCAACTTTTTGCATTTTTTCTAGTCTTTTCTAGTACACATTAGGCTTAGGACATAATTACCATAATTGTGTGTCACGCATTCTCTGCACATAGATACCGTTTCTCCAGAGCGTGGCAATTGTTAAACAAAGAAGTACCAGGGTTATTTTCCAATAATGACTATTAATGCCACATTTTGTTCCACAGCTGAGCTTCTAAAGACCATAGTTGATAGATCAAAGTGATTAGAACGATGCATATCTTATCTTTTGAAAATATCATTACATTATAACATACTAATTTGTTCGAACTACAACTCGGGGCACTAGCTTGATAAAGAAGTCAGCATGGGTGTTCATTACACCAAAGTCCTGGCCTAATTTAAGTTGCAAAGCCCGCATCAAAGACTGTTCAATTATTTCTTGAGAGTTGTTATTACTTAATCTAGTGCAAGGTTGAAATATTATCGTTTTCAAATGTGATGTCTGTTGTTAGTAAGATTTCTCCTACTTCGGGGATCTTGACGTACTAAACAGCCGTCTTTTTTCAATCGCTTAATATTCCCTACTTGTAGTAGAATTTAATACAAAAATCATTAAAGAAACCAACCTGTTGAAATGACCTCACCGTTCAACTGTTTAGATGCAGTAAGGTTACTTGTGTGCTATCTACACACTATAAGCATTAGACCTTACTCAGACCTGAAAATTAACATAACTTAAGGCACCGTGTCAGGGTATCGTTATATCATTGCTGAGTTAGATCGAGTTATCATATTTGAAGGACTCAGTCATACTGTGATGATACGGTAAACAGTGCGGTTTTGTATTATGATAAACAAGAATTCTCTTTATTCAACCACTTTTACCCGTGGTTTAAACTGCACATACATATTCGGTAGTGATACGCGAAAATTTGAACCTCAGACGGGAATCGAACCCGTATTTCACCCTTTCCCGGGGAGTTGGCTAACCAGCTGCACTGCCGAGGCTCCTTCTGCACTGTGTTTTGTATTATTTTGCTTATTATAAATTCGACTTTTTGGCGAAGAAATTTTAGCCTGTAATGCAATATAATAGACCAAGTGTCCTCCTAACTTCCGCGTTCTTCACTGAAGGCAAAAAAAAGACAATTATCCGAGTAGCACATAAGTGCATGCCCTTTACGCGCTGATGTCCGTTAGAGGTGCAAGTGACACTAGGTTCCGCTCCACTTTTGTTGCTACGGCCACAGCAGCAGCAACAACAACAACAACACCAGCAACAAAAACAACATCAGCAGTAGCAGCAGCAGTTGGTTTCGGCGACTGCTATCGATCCGACGACGCTGTAGTTCATTCCAGGCAAACACTCATGTCAACAACTACATCAAGCACAATCGTTGCCATTGTGCCAGCCTCCCTGGAAACGAGTCATTTCATGTATTTGTCTTCAAAATCGCGCTTTAGGAGTCATATTTCAGGAAATGAAGCTCATCTTGGACTTTCTCTTGCGTTCCCAACGTCCATAAATCCATCTCTATTTTATTTTCAACATAAATATTTTTCATTAAATGCGGACCCTCAATCGATGCAGCCCATGTGAAACCGGTCTTTTTTGATGGATAGCAGTGCCGTACTCATAGTTTTATTGTAATGGTGTTCTTCATTTCACCAAAAATCAACCTCAAGGAGATTTTTTCATATTTTGCTTTGAAACGTTGCCCTTTTGTTTACAAATTCCATTCGCCAAATTCGTCATATGCAGTGTTGTTGTGTTCTTCAAGTCACTTCGTTTCTTTCATATTTATCTTCTCCGTATTTTTTCCAACTTCATCCCTAAAAATTCTTCTCATTCGTCCATCAATGTTTACCGAACAACACCTTCCAGTAATCCTCTCATCGCGTGACACTGCACTTGGCTCCCTCAGATAGCTATTGGATTCCTTGCAGCGGTAGAATTTAGCCATAGATCTTGGATTGCTCCTCAGGAAATAAGTTTGATTTGTATATGAGTCTGCAGGAGGTCTAAATTTCAGATTATCTTCAGTTTTCTGCTCTCGATCATCAGAACTCTTATCCTGTAATTTTCAACTCCATTTGGGCTTTGACTTTTTTAATACTTGGTCTTACTTTTGTTTTCTTACTTTCTCTTATGAGTCACTTTTTTGGGTTAAATAAGTGCTATTTAGATTTTTTTGGAATTCATGTGTTTTTGAAGAACTTCTTAGCTTGACGACGAACAAAATAAGGAAGAAAGTTCCCACGTGATTCATTTAATTAGCCATTTCTCATTCGGTTTCGAACGCTTAATGTAGAGCATCAAGCGTTGGGAGGCATTGGACATGTTCTCGTGCTGACAACAGAATCTTCCATTTATAGCCGATGCCCTCTCATGGTCGTCACGTCAACGTCTCCCTTCAAAGCCCTTTCAGTACAAACTTTTATGATGAGCCCACAACTGCTGTGTCAACGTTTACAGTTATATTCTACCTCATATTAACTCTCAGTCAAAAACGATAAAGTAGTGAAAGTTTCCACTTTGAATTACTTTAATATCGTTTTCGATAATTCACATTTTATCGTTTGTCTGCTCTTTCCTCTTTACCTTGCAGTCGAAAAATTACAGATTTGTTAGGTTAGTTGACCTATCTTCGTTACCTGATATGAGTTTTTCTCCGTTTTGAAAATTAAGAAGTTATTCGCATTACTTTTTGCTCCATGTTTTTCTGTACACTCTCTTATTTTTTGATGCATGTGAGTTGTAAGTGTGAGCGAAAAACACTTGTTCACTACGCGATCACACTGCTTTTGGCGACCAGTCTATTGTAATAAAATCCTACTTAAGATACTATGATATGAATTTTTCTTGTTTTAATCTCTTTTGTCACATACAATTTTCAAAAGTCATCATAAAGGATGAAAATGGTAATCAGAAAGTGCTACTAATCCATTGTATGATTACTCAGCAATTTTTAGTTATTAGGAAGCACGAGCTCTCTCTGAAGCGGAAATTTTTGTGACAATGGATTACTCAAAAAATCTAATTTTGCTATCACGACTGTGAATAAATCCCCCGGATTGAAGTTGGAGCATCGGGCAGACTGAGCTGAATGAGTTCTGAAAGTGCAGTGAAGGGCTCTGTTTTAGCGAAAAAAAAAAACCCTCTATATACGCATGTATCATAAATCATACACACTGTCTCTAGGGATTCAAAATTTGTTCCTTTTTTTTGCTAGAGTATGCCAGATTTGCATCTGCACATCCACTTATTTCAATCGAACTGTTTCACCCACCTTTAATCTCGCTCAATTTGCAAAATTGCTGAATTCTAAATCCTCGTAAATCTGTTTTACTGGACATATTTTTTGACTCGAAGTGATCGTGTTCTGTAAACTGATCAAACCCTGTAAAAGTTGTGAAAATTGGATTATCTATTTCGTTAAAATAAACGAAAAATATTACGACCTGTTTTTTTTTCGGCCCTGTTGATATTCCAAACACAGCCTTCTTTGTTGAATCCAATCTAAATTATTTTCTATGAATTCTTTTCAAAGCTCTGGAGTTTTAGTGGCGATTGAAAGCACAAGAGAGCCACAGCTCCAGGAATTGATAACATCACGGCCGATTTCCTCAGATCCGTTGGCCATAATCAGCTTGCACTTCTTTCAAGGCATTTGACATTATATCTTCAAAAAGAAGAAATCGCCGGCCAGTGGAGGGCATCACGTACTGTCATACTACCTGATAAGGGTGACCGTGGAGATCTTCATAACTACCGCCCAATATGCTTGTTAAGTGTACTTTATAAGCTCCTCATGAAATCATCCTTTTGTGCATATTGAAGATCTTGGATGAGACACAGCCAATTAAACAAGCAGAATTCCTTAAAAGATTCTGCTACTTGGACCTTATCCAAACCGTATCCCTGGTCATTGAAATTTGTCGAGATTACTGTATGCCCTTTGTCCTAACCTTTATCGACTATTAGAAAGCGTTCGACAGCGTCGAAAGGAATGCGATACTTTCAGCGCTCGTCAACGAAGGTGTAGACCCCTCCAATTTCCGAACATTAGCGGACTGCTAGCGAAACTGCGGCACGAAAACACGGCTCTTTTATCAAACCCTCGCCGTTCCCATTGAAAAGGAACTAGACAAGGCAACACTATATCACCAAAGCTGTTTACCGCCGCTTTGCAATGGACGATGAAGTCGCTCGATAGTGACAAGGAAGGCATACGATTTGATGGAAAATTCCTATTACACCGTAGTTTTGCAAACGACATCGTTATCTTTTCGAAAAATACCAGTGAAGCGGAGACGATGATCAAGAAACTCAATGAAGCTGGAAAAGATTGGATTACACATACACAGGGCGAAGACAAAGTTCGTGAATATGAAGGTGACCAAATCAACTCGGTTGATTCTTTGATTAAGGGGACCACCTCACACGTGAACTTTGGACATTCAATGAACTTGGAAGAAGTGGAGGGGAGGGGGAGCAGGGTGAGGGGGGGGGGGGGGGCATGGAGAACAACATGAAAGAGGAACCAGACGGAAGAAGGAGAGCTGCATAAGCCGCAATTGAGCCTCTCAAAAGGTCACGGACCAGGTAGCGAACCCCATACTTCGTGCTTTTTCAATTCCACAGTCCTCCAACGCTCTGTTATGCAGCCCAGACGTGGCCTGATACTGCAACCACGTCAAGAAGTCTACATACTAATAGGACGCCTGTGCGAAGTCTTTTAGAAGTCAAACGGCACTCACAACGGCTAGCCGGATCACGCAGACCCGATTTCCAAAAACTACCTCATTTTCATGACCCAGAAATATACACGTTGATAACAAAACAAAAATGGACTGCTCATAGAATGAGAAGAACAGGGGACAGATGGGCGAAAAGATTAGTGGAGTGGACTCTAAGTGAATGCAAGTACCGTCTTGGACGACTACCCATACTATGGTCGGTCGTGTTTATGGCTAACGTCAGTCATTGGTGTCCACAGATAACAACGAGTTTAGAACTTACGAAATGGGCCCAGCGTACGTCACCATGCTCGAAACAGACCATAACCATGGGCGGCAGTTGTACCAGAGAGAACCAATGGAAACTATGCTGGGGCCCGCGTCACCAATGAAGGCACTCAATATCCAAGTAATAAATATCTCTTCAGAATTAAAACGAACACTAGAGTCTTGTTGCTAACCATCCTTTTTATTCATCGTGATTTATTCCTCCGTATGCTGAAAGCTTGCTACATAAATAACGAAAGCGCTCCTAGCTGTTTCCTTCTTCATCACACACCTTATACTTAATTTGAAATCTCGTTGATAACCAATAAGTAAACAAACGTATCTTAAGAATACAAATACTATGACCATTCTGCTGAATGTTCTGCCGTATTCAACACTTTGACAACAGTATGGATTGCATGTGCTTCACTTTCATCTTGCCTCTGGTCAAACAGATTTGTGTTGTCGATCAGCACTTTACCATTGTCGACCATGTGTTCGGTACCGTTGGACTGATGCTGTTCTCTTGCCAATCAACAAAAAGTTGTTACTCCCACAAATTTGTCTGTCAACAAAAAATTGTTTTCTGGTGAGGAGGGCCTCTGTTTCTTCTCTACTTGAAGGCTGGAGTTTTACATTTTGAGACATTCCTGTTTCAGATAAAGAAAGCCTCTAGGCATTGATCAATCCCTGAGACAAACACAATGACTCGCAGTGGCTTGCCGATGTGTTAGGCCAATCTGCTTTCATCCCAGACAAGTTTGGTATGAATCTGTTAACTCCGGAGGGATGGGAAGCTTCGCGAGCCTTGGACCTGGGATCGAACCTTCCATTACATGCGTGTTGCACGACCTTTAACTGCTGCGCCACGCTCACCTCCTCGCTCCGAAGAGATGGCAGATCGTTGAGAAGACTTGCATAAATGCTATTGTACGCTAGTACAGTTAGTATAGCCCGGTGTGCTTAAGTTTATTGAGCGTCACCATTTTTCTCTCTAAAGG